CACAAAGATAAAAACAGTAAAAAGTAGGAACAATACGAACATTGGGGAGCGATCGGGACTTCACAGTGAAATCATACGTTTGTGCAAATAAAATCTGGCCTATGAGGTTTTACGAAATCAGTCCACTTTCTCCGTCTAATAGTTTACAGTTGGGTGATCTGGTTAGAAACACTTCCTTGTAAGAGCTTTTTTACTCGCCACAGATTTAATAAATATTAGTGTTTTTTAGTCCATTCTTGAGGTATGAGTCCACAAAACAAAGTCTTACTCTCCGTGGGCATTTGGAAATATCTTGTAAGGCAGCCGTTCCCAACCTGTGGTCCGCGAAGGCATTGCAAGAGGGCCGCCAAATAATTTGCAAAACTTTATGATTTGTGTGGAAACATTTAATTATTAAAACATTTTTTATTTTAACCTCCTTTCTCTTTCTTGATCCTCCTTAGCAACGGTCATTACAGTCCTTGACAGCGGTCATTACAGTCCTTGACAATGGTCATTGCAGTCCTTGACAGCGGTCATTACAGTCCTTGACAACGGTCTTTACAGTCCTTGACAATGGTCATTAGAGTCCTTGACAGCGGTCTTTACAGTCCTTGACAACGTTCATTACAGTCCTTGAGGTGATCTGATCTACTTGATTTACAACGTGTCACATGTTCTGAATCGACCAATCAGAACTTTATTTAGCCTCCGTATTGTTTAAGGTTGAATGTGGGCCGCGAACATTGAGAAAAGGTTGGGAACCGCTGGAGTCTACGTATAGAGTTTCTAAAGTGAAGGTTCTTGGTTTGTCTCCACCTCTGATACCAGGAGATTACTGACAGCAAATATCTCACCACGTTATTTAAAGCAGTGGTTCCCAATCGGGAGTACGAGGACCCCTAGGGGTACTTGAGGGGCAGCAGGGGGTAAGTAGAAAGATTAGGGATCGCAATGTAAATCCCACAGAAAAAACTATTTAAAATAAATTCTCATAAGCCTGGTGTCCTGCCTCAGCTCAAGTGTCTCATTCAAAGCTCCAGTCTTAACAACACATGTTGAAACTAGAAGAGAGTCCTAATATAATAGTTTTCACTGACAAGAAGTGTGAAGGTTTAAATGCATTTATATTAAGGGTGAGTTATACGAGGGGTTTTCATTTAAAGTTGGGTTGAACACGATTACAAAGGGTTTAGAACATATTTAGACCAATCCTCACAGAGGAGTGAGGGGGTTCCTCTAACAGTGCCACTGGTGGTCCGTGAGCGCCCCCTTGTGGTCCGTGAGTATATTGATAACATTTCACATTTGAAATAAATAAATACATTTCAGTTTTCCGCACTCTCGCGGGAATATCTCCGCAATGGATCGAAGTTAAGTTTAACTTTCGATTGCATGATATAGCCCAGTGCAACACCTTCATCACACATGTTGCCACTTGTTTGTACCATTTTCAGGCGATTTATAATCTGTTCTAGAAAAACGATGTGTTTTTTGATATTTGTGGAGTTAGGTGGTCCGCGAGTTTTTTTAAATTGGTTAAGTGGTTCTTGGTTTGAAAAAGTTTGAGAAACACTGGACCAGCTCAGGGGGTCCACGAGACAACAAAGGTTGGGAACCACTTATTCAAACCCTCACCTTGTTTCTGACCTCCTTGCCATCAGAGATGACCCCGACTCCGTCTCCGTTCTGCAGCCCGTTCTCCTTCAGACCTCCTCCTCTTCCTCCTCCTCCTCTTCCTCCTCCTCTCTCTTCCTCCTCTTCCTCCTGGATGTGCAGCGTGTCCTCGGCGGCACACAGCTGCAGCTCCAGACTCTCAGAATCACAGGAAGGGTTTCCCTCAGAGCTGCTGTCCTTCTCCCCCTCCTTCTCCCCCTCCTTCTTCCCCTCTTTCTCCTCCTTTTCAGAATCACAATTCCTTTATTAGTCCCTCAAGTGGCATCGCAGGTAAAACAAAAAGTAATAATAACAACAACAACAAATAAGAAAGTGTTTGTTTCACCTGAGGCTCTGCAGGAGTCTCCTCTGGCTTCCCCTCCTCCTGCTGGATCTCCTCTGCTGGAGGACTGATGCTCTCGCTGAGGGTCTCGCTGTGATTGGATGCAGCATCCAGGTCCTCCAGGGGGCGGGAGTTGTAGGAGGAGGGTTGGGGGGAGGTAGGCAGGGAGGTGCTGCTCTCCCGGGACAGGGTGCTGTGCCGCGGTTTGTCCGGAGACCTGAAGCTGAAGCGGGACGGCTTGGGGCTGTAGCTCTTATGGAACTCAGAGAAACTGGACTTCCAGGCTTTAGGGGAGGTGAGGGTCCGTCTCTTCAGGGACCCGTACCTGAGACACAGGGAGGAAACTATTCAAGTGGCTTTTGTCAACAAACACACACATCATTTGATTTCAGGATATTACTCAGAGTAGTGTTTTGGTTTATCCAGATTTCATGTCAGTTGTTTTCTATATCTTAACGTGTAATATTTCAATCATTTTTATTTCTTCTTTGGTGGTTTTTTCTTACTTTTTATATTCTTTAACTGTTTGTTTATGCACCAGGTACACCAAGACAACATCTGTGTAAACCTACTTGGCAATAAAGCTGTCTCTGATTCTGATCAACTTATCAAAGATCATCCTTTCACGCATGTTAAGGATGTGATATTTATTTTAATTTGTATTGACTATTTTTATTGACTACAAAACACCATATCTGCAAGAACTATTTAATTGTTGGACTTTTTACGTATTTTTCAATTTTTCTATATTTATTTTTGTAACTTTTTTTCTTTGGATCCAATTTTTTAAATAAATATCTTTAGGAGACGAAAAATCCTAAAAACACATTTTATGACTCTCTGATAACTGGGCATCGCACACACTTGGAAAAATAAAATGTAAATACATGAACCTTCCCAAAGCACAACTTAGTTATTCATTTTACTAAAAAGTTCCTCCCTCCTTTTATTATTATGATTATTATTCTGTTAACTTATGCATCGTTTCATAAGGTATCATTTTGTTGGGAATAATTCAGATTTGAAACGTCTACAGCAGGGATGTCAAACTCAAGGCCCGGGGGCCAAATCCGGCCCGTGACTTCACTTCATGCGGCCCCGAAGGAGCTTGCAAAGAATAAAATACGTTTATTATACGGTTACATGCCGCTTTAAGAGAAGCAGGTTGCCCATAAACTACATGTCCCACAATGCATCTCCTTTTGTGACATGAGCACTGAAGAGACTTGGAGTTATTTGCCCTCGACTTCTGCTTTCAGACGTAGTTAATTACGAAGTTATTACCCTATCTGATAATAATCCAATGCAGAGGCAATAATGTGATATAATACATTATTTTATATATTTATATATATATTTATATAGTTACAACCGGCCCTTTGACTGCAACCTTAACGCTAATGTGCCCCACGATGAAATTGAGTTTGACACCCCTGGTCCACGTGTATTCAGATAGAGAGATGACCTCTGACCTCTGCAGACCCTTCACTGCGAACACTTTCTCCGGATGCTGAGCCTGCAGCTCCTTGATCACGCTCTGCAGATCCAGGTTCAGCTGCAGGGGCACAACACGGGTTCACAAACAAACAAAGAAACAAACACATGATAGAAATAAACATTGAATACTTTAGAAACACACCGTGCTCATCTCCTTGAAGAAGATGTTCCTTAAATGTGAAACAGCAGAGAAGGCCGACACGAAGCACCCGACGCGGCTGCAGGGAAACAGATGAGAACATGATTTAACATCTGTACGTATTTACAGACGCTCTCCTGTGCTGCGAGAACGCCGTCAGACCTGTCGAAGATCACCGGAAGCTCCTCCTTCAGCTCGGAGTTGATGCTCTCATAAACACTCCTGGCTTCATGCATCTCCTCTTCGGCCTGCAGGGAACACACGGAAGAGATTTTAAATACATGCACAGAAGAAGAAGACATATGCATGAAATGATTGCAGAAGTAAAAAGAATTGCACGCAGCTTTAACATGAATATCTCTTGCAGAGCACCAACTGAAAAAAGGCTGTCGTACTTTAAGAGTCACATTTTCAAAAGTATTACATTGTGTTCCTTTTTCTACACTTTATAAAATGTTTGTATTTGTCCCAACAACATGTTAGTATAGTGTATACAGCATAAAGAGTTTTTCCATATTGTTACAATTAGGGCTGCTCAATTAATCGTATTTTAATCGCAATTACGATTTTGG